ACTTTTATTAGCCTTTCCAGTTTTAGACATACGGTAAATCAGAACTACTTCAAACCTAAAAATAAATGAAATACATTTTCAATTTATAGTTAACACCATAATCATACTATTGAAATTTCAGGTGGCCGAATTATTTATAATGTCATCGAAGGATTGCGAAAGGAACTTTGGAAAGATGGACTGGAACCTTTACCTATGCGGATACGATACAGTGAATACAGGACTTGCGGACGGCGACCCGGGTGGTTCCTTTACAATCGATGGTGTACTCTACGGCATTGGTTACGACTTTCCTGAAGGAGATACTGGTTTCAACTACCGTTCAATCTTCCTGGCACTTTAAAGATTGGCTAATAGGGAATAGCGAGGGTACCATTGTGTTCCCTTAGTGATATTGTGCAATACTTTTGTTGAATTTTGCAAATACTTTCAGGGTGAGATAGTGGAAATAAAAGGCTCCTGGTACTTAAATATCAAATAAGTAAAATCTAATTCAAAAATAAAAAAAATCCTACTTTTCACAAAACGTTTCCCCTCAAAAACTTACCAAACGTCCCAAAATTATATATTTATCAACTCATGTTTTGTGAATTACATGACAAAAAACCTATGACCTTTGCCTTTTCTTCCCTTAGTTACAAAAAATCTTTAGGAGAAGATTAAAACTGAGTTTTAATCTTCTCCTGAAGATGCCAACTTGGTTGGCGAAACGCGTGTCAAGTACGTAAAATTGAGTTTCGGTTTGTGGTAAAACGCGTTATTGTGTGCCTCTAATAAATGGTTATAGGATGATATGATTATTTCTGGATTCGTCCATGCCAAATTATTGAGATAACATTAATGTTTAAAAAAAAAACATGTTTTCCTAAGATCTTTATATCTTTAAACCTGCTGCCTGTATAAAACATTAAGAACTTTCATTATTCCCTGATTTTTTAAATGGGACACCCTGTATATAATTACTTTATCGTGTTCAGCTATTGCCCGTTCTTATACCAATCAATTGAAGTTATTCATTTTTATTAAAGCTTTACAAAAATACTTTAACTTTTCACTCTCAATTTGCCGGGTCAATATAAACTAAAAGTAGTACGTTCATATTTTAATGTTTTATAATAGATTATAAAATAGATTTAAAAATCGCCCAAATTATTTTAAGTATCTAAAGTGTTCTTTAACACAGAACATTTCAAATAAAAAGCGGGCTTAGAAATTATATACGGTATGAGTCCGTTTTCTTCAGAAAAATAAATTTTGACATATTTGTCTTCAAATTAATTTTGAATAGTAAAAACTATTTCGACTATGTTTTCAACAATACAGATAGAGGAGAAAAACAAAGCGCTGAGAAACTTCGACACATGACAAAACTGTTCGTAACTTTATCAAATACTTTTATGTCAAAACTGGTTCAAAAGGTTCTAGTCATTAACTCTTTAGCATAAACCATTTGACATCTGATGATGATTGCAGCCTCCTTTATTCGCGTAGTTAGGAATATCATAGCCTGCACAGTAATTGGTTGATTTTTTGTCACAATTGGCAAAACCTTAGCAGGTGAATTTATATTCATTGGTTAGAGAGATTTACTCGTCGCTATCTGAACGAGTTTTCTAGTTGAAGATATAAAATAAATCCCTAAATTATTAACACAACTCTAATAAAAATCTCAATTTAGTTAATATTTAATCATAAAACACTTAATGAAGATATTTTAATAAAATAGATATTCATAGAAAGTAATTAGACACTGATTACTCAGTCCAGAAAATATAAAAATCTCTAAAAATAAATAGTTCATTATAAGAAAAAATGTTTAAGATTAATAATTATTAATCGATAATATAGAAATATTTTGAGCACACTGGAAATGTGCAACTTGAATTTTTTTCCGCTGCTGTTCCAATGCGCAGCGTTCTGGTAGAAAACGCGTAAAAATGATTTTATTTTAATTTATTTTTTATTAAAACATATCGATCTGGAAAACTATTATCTCGTGCTATTTATAAGTATCGGATATACAACAGACCGACACCGAAATTGAGACAGAATTTACTTTTTTTAGTACTCTACTACTTTTCTGAAATAGTCTATAGTGGCCATCACGTATTACAAAAAGGCTATAGGTGAAACTTGTTATGGTTGGTACAGCACATCAGGATCATAGATAAAAGAAGAGATCAGAGAACTATTTCATGTGGAGTAAAACAGGATTGTTTCTTTTCTATTGGGATACCTTAATAAATATATATTGCGGAAAAAAATTGTCTTAACAGAAAAAAAAATGTTTACCAAAAATTTTTCTGAACAAAATTTCGTAGCTCAAAAACGACATCAAAACCTCCGACAAAAATCGAATTTATTCCATGTGACTGAATAGAGATCTAAAGGATCTTTCAGATGATATAATGATAATATTATAGACAACGTCGTCGAGATGACGTTTAAAGTGAAAATATGTTCTGACGAAAAATGAACAGATTTTAGGAACACATAATATTCAGGTTCTGATAATCGTAACCATGGCTAATACTTGGTTCTGTCATATTCAGTCTCGAGTGTCTCTGCTATTGAAATCAGAATCATACCCCATATCTTATTCACTTATGAATACAAGTGAGCGAAAAATATTTACATTAATAATATTGCTCTATGAACATACCCATTGGAAAGGTAGATTTCATCGATCACGATGCATATGTATATAAACCTTTATTTTGCATAAATTAAAAAGTTAAAATATGTCTCTTTATTGTGTTTTGGAATTCATTCGCGAGCTATATTATTTCAGCCGACTCTTGTACCATCTAGTCATCGTCAGGCCACAAAAAAAAATTGTTACTGAAAATGACTTGATTCGAATCTTGATACTGTAAACAATTTTTAAAAAAAGTTTATTTATGTGTACACTCGACACTGTCTACTAGCACCATAACTGTCTGCGAATGCCGATTAACAGAATATAGATAATAACGGCTTCTTTGCTGTATGAGAAATCTTTTGTTGCCCTTAAATCCACCAGGTATTGGACTCATTTGGCAGTTTCTGAGAGTCGAGTTTAGAGACTTCGAGGAGCACTGAAGTGGTTTTAATGCCTGTCTGTTCGAAAATGTGTCATTGACCCACCAGCAGCTTCTCTTAAGCTGTGTCGCGCACATATGTGTAGTCTGTTTCAAAGTAGGTATGGTCTTGGCTTTTGACGAACCCTCTCTCAAAAAGGCAGGTAATGAGATTTTATTATACCTAAATAAGCATAAAGTTCGTATAGTACCGACTGTATTGTATTTCCGTGTTCGATAATTTCCATTAAAAATTGCCAAAAATATTGCCATTGTATGAACGTGCTACATTATACACTGATTGATTCATATATGACGTTCATAAACTTCTTCCGTCACTTATTTATTAAGCACTCGCTTTGCTTGAGTTAGTTTTAATTTTATATGAAAACATTTCTCTATAAATCGTCCAGTTTCAGCTGTTTACAGTTTTGGTTGGAGTTATAATCAAATGTACTCAGATATGTATAATAAAAAAGATTGCAATTTTTGGCTAAGGAGGCTTTTAAATGACATCAACTAACTTATACAGTCTTAGCCAATGGATATGTAAAACAGTCATTGCAAAGTAATGAAATTTAACAGTGAAATAAATAAATTTAATTTCTTTTTAAAGTTCTCAATAACAAATTTGTCCTATCACTGACAGGACGTTACGATGCAAAGATCACAGATATACTTTACATACAGATTAGACTGTAAAATCTCTGCATATCATCAGAATTTTTTTCAACCTAGAATAAGCGTATATTTAGCAATATAAACTTTTTTCTACTTCCTTCTGCAAAATACCCAATTATACGCCGATCTAGCGTGCGGAAACTGTGATTATAACTCGTCAGTTTTGTTTCCCACAGATCCGAGTCACTGCCAGGATATTTACCGCACGGATTTAGCAGCAATCAGATGTTTTAGGAGATATTACCGCTCCACTGGAATTTTGACTTTTGTCAATTATGACGGTCATGTCAGTGAAGGTATTCGTGTTGCTTTGCAAAAATGTACCCAAAAACTAATGGTTGTAGAAAAAGTATAGTATGAAACAGATTTGGTAAACTTTTTATTATTTTATTTATTAAACACAAGTGCCGTTTACCACATTTGTTATATTCTATACTATTTATCAATAAAAGTGTTACCAATTGGAGTTTTCTCTTTTTTTTTTTTAATAGGTTCGATTTATTTATCTGTTCAGCTTATAGTTTCGGCTAGTTTATCATTAATTACAAACAAAATTATTTTAATATCTTTTTGTAAGGGTACCTAAAATGAACAAATGCTTAAATCAATTTCAAAGCCTTAAAGACAAAAATAATCGTATAATTAAGATATTTGGATTTAACTCATAAACTTATATGTATACGCAAAAGCTGTTTTCACTGGAATGTTATTATTTTCATATTCTTTCCAACTTAAATGACATAAATTACTTACCTGCTTACTTATCGACAGAAATAGTGATACTTCTGGTGTTTATTTTTCAGATAATGAAAATAAATTTGAAATATAAAATAAAATTTGCAAAATTTTATTCGTCTTGGCTTCAACAGCCAAATGTCAAGGTTCAAGAGGCTGGCAGTAAGCTATCAATTTCTGTTGGAACTGGTAAAGTGGCGTGAAACTTGTTATCAGTTCTATTAAGTGTCTTAGAACATGTACTTATTAAGCACACCTGTTTCACGCCATGCTACACTGTCCTAATTCATAGTACAAACCTCAGTCAGAGCCAATATCAAATAAGCAGTGCAACCTAAACAAACCAAAGCTAATAACATGAGAAAACACTCAATATTCAACCACCAGGCAAGATAAAGGTATCAAAAATCTATAAATTCCAATAAACTCACCTTATGGAAAATTATAAATTTATTGCCAAATGAATAAAACGATGACTTACCAAAATTATTCGATATGCTACTATCTATGATAATGACCAGTATAAAAGTGGGTGCAATGTTCACCGTTAGTGTTTGATGAGCAAACGACAATGAAGTCATATTATCTTCTATTGGCATTAACTCTTTGTGGACTCGTATATTCACTGCCTTCGTCGGTAAGTTCTGTATTCTTCTTTTTTTTACTATTTTTTGGTGCGGTCAGCGGGAACCTCAACAATTTTTTGCAGAAATGTGGACTATACAGTGAGGTTCAGTTTTTAATTTATTGTGTGCAGGTGTATTATCGATATTTCGCTGAGACCAGTAGGCCCACTGCAGCAAATTGCTAATGTTTATACATCTCCCCGCAAGTTCAGTAGTCGTATAAAATGATAGTTTTTTCATGGGAGGTATACCCTATAGATTTTTAAAATTCCAGTTTTGAATCCACCGTTGTATCTTTCTCGTCTATGCATATTCTTCACTTTTCGTCGTCCGCAAGGTCTATTTTGTGCAAGTTATATCTTAGGTGATATTATCCATTATACATCTCTATTACGGTTTTCAAGTTTGCCCTGCTCATATTTATCATGGAGCCGGTTGTGCGTTTCTTTGACATTAAGGTCTTCGAATGCCTTTCCCTAGTCCCTAGTCGTCGACTGCGTTAATTGGCGAGAAGTATTCAACATCGCCTGAGGTCCTGAAGTGACGTTTGTGTCTCCTTGATAATAAAGAACTTACCTGACTATATAAGCGTCTAGTTTTCGGAATTAGTTTAGTTTACATTTGGTACCAGGCAATAATCCATCTGTTTGAAACTTTGTCTAAGTTCACGAACAACAATGCAGAATGAGTGGTAAAGGAATCATGTCAAGTGAAACAACAAGTACGACCCAGATTTGGGTAAGTGTCTGGGTATTGCCTATTGTTATCGTGATGTATTTATTCCCACCACAGGGTCAAAATATCGCAATTTCGATCTATTAACTTGATCCTATTGGGCAACACTGAAAATGATGATTATAAAAATAAGTTATTATGTACATTAGGTATTAGGTTATTCTCTTGGCGTTTTAATTAACGGATCGGCGGTCCGATCGTTGAAGTCTTTAAAATCCACATTTTCTCCTATTCCTTATTGATATGCAGGTCTACTTTTCGCCAGTTCTGTGGTGTCACTTCTTCAATCACTTGATCAAACAGTAACAGGTCTTTAATTCTTACAATTGCTCCCCTATTTTCATAGGAATAAAGAATGTTTGCGTGTGATTACCGATCGAAGAACCATCGCATTGCTTCCAAATAGACACTGTTACTGGTTCTGACAAATTTAATGTTTCAAGTTTTGCACATGTTAACTTGACGAACTAAACAATAGCCAGATTGCCAAGAAAAGTGAACTGTATAATTTCTAGGAAATCGACGAATTGAGGCCTTTAGTATGTATTTGATAGCACTTATTTAACTAAATTGACACCAACAGATAATTGCTAATTATATAGTAACTAAATAAAAGTATATAGAAACGACCGACAGAGTAAAGAGGGAAATCACGAGCGACAAATTAAATCGTGTTGGTTTTTCTACAACGTTGTATCGAGTACCGATAAATCGATACTTTTTGAATCCAAAAAACGGAAACCACAACTTGCACTTTGCACTTGTGTATAGGCCTCAAAACGTACCGCGAAACTTAAATTAAAAGCAAACTGCTTTCTCTTTCAATATTACAAAATGACAAAATTAATTAAACTATTAAAAAAACATGCAACAACACTCTTAATGAACTTAATATTAATTCCTTGGAAGAAAGAAACTTAGGATAACAAAATACAATTGGATGGCGTGTGTATTCTAAGACTCCGGTTGAGTCTCTACTAATAGAACCAAGGTTACGTCAGCTAAATCAACTATTTGACATTACAACCCTCTAAAAAATGTAGAAATATTTTTCGCATCTTAACATTCTCCCCTCACAATGAACTGTAATCTTCAATTTCCAAAGTTTGTAATACATGCCGTAGTATAAGTAGGATAAGTCTGTGGATTTCACCCCAGCTTCCCCGTAGACCTCTCCAACATGGACTACTTTATGGAAAAATCAATTTCCTTTTATGTCAAAAATGCCGAACACAAGTTATTATTCCATTCTTTCTAAAAAACTTGTAAATTTCATTTAGATTAAGATTTTAGATTTTCGTTTCGTCCCTCTTAGTTTCTCTCTGCCTATTCTGGATTTGTTTAAAATCGTCAAACAAAATGTTAAGCACCTTCGCAAACGAGAACAATTTGGAAATTTCTCCCACGGGAAGGATTCTGCAACAATAGATTGATTATGACTAATCCTTTTTTGCTGTGGTATGTTTTCTAGGTCCCAATTTGTTTCTATGAAATTGCACTTTAAATTGCGAATAAGTTTTGTCTCAAACCGCCAGAGTGCATTTTCCAAGATATCTAATAATACGGAAATTCGGATGATTTTATATGACGCCATTTATGATTTGATGTAAACTCTTGAATTTCCGAATGTTGTTCAACCTGAAGGAGATGAATTCCAATCTAGGTAGTGACACCGTTTTGAGAGGAGCTAACCTTGACCTTGAACATAAAAGAGCTATTCAAATTTGATTGTCATAATAAAAAAACAACCACGCAAAAACCATGAATATCAATTTTCCTTTGTGTATGAAAAAAATCAAACGCGGAATTAATAAATCAGATAATCATTGGGTAATGTATAGTACCCATCAAGTTTTCCTAATTGCAATTCCTGCATGAACATTTTTGCACGTACAATCATTGGACTTATTAATGCGCGAGAATCAAACATTTGAGCTGTAATTGAAAGCACTAATCGCTTAGTAAAAGTTTCAGATATATCTACTTTAGGAAGTATAACCTTGAATCTGTCTTTTTGAGAGGTCCATGATTTAAGTACTCGATTTTTTAAATATCTGTGAGTTACATCATTTTCATTCGATATGATAGTATTATTTCCCCGACTTTGATCGTTCGAACACCATGTGCAAATTAAAACCTCAAGATTTTGATGGTGCTGTTAATTCACCACGTAATTTAATAGCCTTCATCTTTGGAATTTGTGTGTCAGTATGTCATCCACATAACACTGACTTAAAATAGAGTTTGAAGCTAGAGGAAAACGCAGACGAAAACATTAGTGTTAAAACTTTAATTGCTCTTAATTTTTTATTTGGATTTTGTCTCCATTGGATGTTTTGAAGATATGTTTGATTTGGATTTATTGGAAATTAAAACATAATTGAAATATCTGAATCTACAATGAATGTCAAATGGACCTTTTTACAAAGTATCATTGAATGATAGTCCTGGTGAAGTTCTTGCTGACTCATTAAACACAGTAGTAGTATGGCAGTTTGATTGGGCTCCCGTATTACGGAATGATTTGGCAAATAATAGCGATGATCTGTGTTATTTAAGAAGTCGAAATTTACATACCTGGTATGTCCGAATTCGACATATTTATTAATGAAATTAGTGTAATCCTCATGTAAAATTTTGTGTTTCTGTAATTTATCTTCCAAAATGTAAAATGGTGTTAAAACTAAAGTTAAAAAATATATTAATTTGAATTGTTGATTTTCCGATTTAAAAGGCAAATTTCATTGAAAAGAATCATCACCTAACCTAATAATTATCTTTTGAACAATTTGTTCACAACCTTTCTCTTAATCCTCAACCGAATTGCTACATCAAGCTTATCAATAATTTTGAAACCTTTTGTTGCTTAGTGCTTAGTGCCTAATCCTAATCTAATTATTTGTGGTGAAATGAAAATGTCGATTTGTAGAGGTGTGTAATATTCTGAATCTGGTAAACGTATACCCGAAAGTATTTCTACTTTTTGTGTGTCTAATATTGCATACGGTAAAATGCAATTGAACAGGCCGATAATTTTCTGTTACTGACTATAGCGTGAGACTGACCAAAGCGTTTACATATTTCCCATACCACCAATGGAAATACGTTATGTGCTCTGATTTTTGAAGAGTTTTTCCCATCCTGTTTTAAGTTACTCTTCCCAATTTAAACAATTTATTTAGCTAATATTAACATTTTTATCTGCCTGAATCTGGTATGAAAGCTCCCTATTATAATTAAATTCGCACGACTCTGCATAGGTTGTCGTTTAACCTAATAACAACTTTTCATTTGTACTAAATAATTATGTTTAGAACTTATTTATTCAAATTAATTTGATATATTTCAAGCGAACAATGGATGTCCCGTACCGACAATGATGTTCTTGTTAGTTTATATAAATAGACTTTTTGCCGCGAATTGTATCGAATAAAATATCGATTCACCACCAGATTGTGCACCATTAGATTATATCATTTTAATGATAAATGAAATTAGAAAATTTAAAACCAACAAAGAAGCAGGATCAAACGAACTTAATTCAGATTTGCTGAAACGCATAGAACATCACTAAGAATCATGCTATATTAAAGCATAGTAATACAGATCAGAACCAGAGTTCCAAGATGTTGCGTTTTCTCAATACTAATATATGAGGTTGATACTCGCAAACTAATTGACACTGCATATAAACGTCTGAAAGCGAATGGTACTACAGACGTGTGCTTAGAATATCATGGACTTACCAATAAATGAAGCCGCCCTACTGCGTGTGAGAAAACAAAGAAGGGTTCTAAAAATAATTAAAGGAAGCGAACTTTCATACTTAGTTATGTGGAATATGGCATATCTTAATTTATTATACACGCCAAGCTAATCTGTATGAGATACTGGAAGAAAACGAGTATCTTGGCTGCGAAATCTAAGACAACAGACATCTTTAGCTTTACATTTAAATTAGTAGCAATAGTATTCGCTAACGCTAGATACATCGATACGGCATGAAAAGCAAAACATAATTATTACTTTACAGGAATCAAAGTTGTTTAATTTCTCTGTTCTCTTCAAATATATTACATTTACCATTAACATAACTGAAAAAGCGTTAGCTTAATTTAGACGACTTTTCAGTTGTCATCGCATTCGCTGACAATTAGAGGCGGTCACAATGCAGTTCCAGGCGAAGTTCCTTATCAGGCTATGGTTTGGGCAAAGTTTGAATCAGCAAATGCCTGGAATGGTGGTACTCTTTTAGCTCCGCGATATGTCATAACGACGGGAGGAACCCTGATTGATGGTCTTTAGTAAGTGTATTTAATTGTATCGCCCAGGTTAAATTTTTTCTATCCGTTGCTGCGTCTAGGAAAATAAATTAGAAAACAAATATAAATATTTCCTGAACTGGTTACAGCTAGAAAATATCTTTAAATTATACTGTTGAAGCAGTCTGCAAATGCAAATGTTATATAGTCATATAGTTAGCAAATGTTAATAGTTTATATCATTAAAAATTTATGTAGGCTCAAAATTAAAAATGTCATTGAGAATTCTTTTTTCTTTTTATCTTTATATTCGGAGAAAAATTATGCTCCGTGAACAAAAGATGAGTAGCGAAAGTATAATTGGTCTCTGTCATCTTAGTTCTTGTACTTACCAAACTGAGATCTCTGACAGAGATCTTTCTGCCAGACTGTAAGAAATTACATTACAATCCTCACATTTCAAAGAATATTCTCCTGATCTTGAAAAATAATCTATTGGACCCTCAAGCTTTATTATAAATTGTTTTAATGAATTGTTTACTTTCAATGCTGTAGATAACAATAAACAATGAAGAATTTAGCTAGGTGCAATGAAAAAAAAAAACGAAATAGAGCAAACATTGGAATTTGCGTCCTGGAAATTTTGATTTGTTTCTTGGAATTTGTTGGAAAATTTGTTGTTAATTGAAGAAATTGGAAAACTGTTGTTGAATTCAATTTGTTTAATCGTCGTCAATTCCTAGTTAATTAAATTTATATCTCGGTAAAATCAACTGTTTGCCTTTGATTTGACATCCTTGTAGGTGTATATTCTTGATTTATGTAATTCATTTTATTATTTCCAAAACTTTTATAGATCTGATGATGTCCGTGTGTGGCGAAATACGTATAACATTTTATAAATAATTATTTTCAAAACATCAAATTCCGAGTGTAATTAAATACTTATAATATTTAAGTTGCTTTTTTGTTTTTTTCCCAGTCATACCGCAACGCTCGCTGTCGAAGTATATCTAGGAATAACTAACTATAGTGCGCCAATTGAAACGAGTCGTCAATTGATAGTAGCCGAGAATTGGAAATTTTCGGACAATGGCATCGCTCTGATAAAACTGGCGACCGAAGCGGTTCTAAACGAATTTGTTGGGCTGCCTAAGTTACCAAGTACTGAGTACTTCAACGACGACTTTTTGGGAAAGAAAGGGGTCATCTCTGGTCTCGGTTACGTAGCTGATAATGTACTAGCCGAAGTTTTACAAGTAAGCATTTTTGATCTAATAATTGAGTAACAGTATATTATGCAACAAGTGCGATAAACGACATTTGACTCACGAGTTTTTAATAAACGAGTGAGTTAAAAAATTTACCGAACGTGTTGCGTACTATACTTTATATATGACCGTTAGTTTTTGGGTCCATTTTTGCAAAACAACATGAATACGTTCACTGACATGACCGTCAGAATTGAGAAACGTCAAAATTCAAAGCGTGAGAAATATCTCCGAAAACATCCGATTGCTCCCAAATCCGTGCGGTAAAATTCCGGAAAGGTCCGAAGTGGCTCTTATTCATGGGAAACGAAACTGACGTGGTAAAGTGACGCTTCCCGCACACTACACGGGAGTAGAAAAACGACATTTTCAGTATTGTGACTCGTCACTCAAATGCCGTTTACGACATTTGTTGCATACTATCATAGCTAATATTTAGAAATCTCCTTTTTAAAACAGACACCTTTAAGCAAAGTAACCATAATATAGTGTTTCTATTTGATAAATGTCAAATATCTTTTGCTTAGTTGTCATTATATACCATATATACCATTGAATTTTCAGATAACCGAATTATTTATAATGCCATCGAAGGAGTGCGAGAGGTACTTTGGAAAGATAGACTGGAACTTTTACCTATGCGGATATGATCCAATCAACGCGGGGCTCGACAACGGAGATCCGGGTGGTCCATTTACAATCGATGGTGTCCTCTACGGCATTGGAAACAATTTTCCTGCAGGAGATACCGATTTCAACTACCGTTCGATATTCCTAAAAATCTGGCCCTTCAAGGATTGGTTAACAGAGAATAGCGAGGGTGACATTGTGTTCCCTTAAAGATATTGTGTAATGTTGTTTGTTGAATTTTACCAAGGCTTTCTGCTAGGGATCGTGTTAATGAAAAGCCCTAAGTAGTTAATTGTCAAACAAATAAAAATGAATTAAATAAATAAAAACTTTCAAGCAGAGTTATCACAAAACTTCGTTTCTTCCTACAGATTTGGCAAACGTCTCAAAATTTTATATTTGGTGAACTATGTGGTAAAAAACCTAGCATGTGTTAAATTGAACACTCCATATATTGCATATTACGAATATAAATAATAATAAAAGCTTTTAAAAAAACATGTTATTAAAAACTAGACGAAATTTAGACTAAATATTCCATGATTTTTTAAATGGAAAACCATGTATATAACTACTTTATCGTGTTCAGCTATTTCCCCTGTACCACTTTTGTTAAAGCTGTTAAAGTATTATTCGTTTTTAATAATGATTTACAAAAATACTTTAACAACCTTTCGCTATCTAGTTGGTATATTTAGTTTTTAAGCTTTAGTATCCTAATTACTTAAAAATTGCGAAAATTATTATTTAAGAATCTTAAAGGAAAGTTATGCCAATACAATATGGTGGACAAATTGAAGCAGGTCAGAAAATTAGTTTTTTTTTACTTATATTTCATAATACAAAAATCATATTTATACATTCTTCAGAGCATAATGATATTACTACAACAAATTTATTTTGCTTTTTCTACGATATAAAATTTTCTACGGAACTCATACTTGCTATGAACTAATTAATTTTTTTTTCTTCTCTATATGCAAACTGTGTATTGAAAAATTATGAAACGTTCTAGTTTTCGAAATAAGATGATATTGTAGTTGTCACTTAACCAACATTATTCGAGTTGAAGTAATGAATTCAGCTGATTGCTACTAATGGTTGTAGAGATTGTAACATTTGTCTCCAAACAGTTGTAGCGTAGGAGTGCTTATTCACAATAACCTAAAACCTCGACGATTTCCCAGGTCATTACATAATGTCGACAAAGATTTTTGATCTGTTTGACTGTGATTTGTCTCAAAGTTGCCCATTTTTTCAAAATTAAATTACGTTTAACAATTTTGCTTTTATCTATACGCCGTGAAAGCCGAACCGGTCACCCAATACTTCAATTTCTTTGTGGTGGTTTCAGTTATCTAGCAAATTTTTGTTCTTGAAGTTTCTAGGATCTGGACGTATCTATGTACTAAATTTAAGGATGCATTTTTAGACCAATTTTAATTAGGAAAATTCATTGACGTGTAAGCTAAAATGTCTGGCTTTCAAGCTGGGGTGTCAAAGTTTCTTCCTTATGTTGGTAGAATACGTTCCTGTATATGCAATAGCCAAATTTGACACCTTGAACAATAGCACAAGTCGAGGGTAAGGGATTTGCATTTTTAATGAGTTCTATAGGTCGGTGGCCATACTATGCCCGAGATTCTTGGAATCAAAGAGGGTGGCGAGAAACGTAAGTTTTTATCTAATTGTCAGATTTTCGGGTTTGTTTGTATATTTATTTGTTGAAATTCGAATTTTCTTAAAACACAGGAGGAGGAAGAGAGTTGAGGAAATTCTGTATTCCTTTGTCGTACTCATAGAATTCCATATGGACGGATAATATTTTCCGTTATCTGTACAATTATTAAATATATTATGACAACCCAACATTAACTTTATTAAACTGGGCTAGAATGATTGAATGATGCCTTTGACGAAATCTAAAACAACGTATTTTAGCGAACGATTAACATAAAGAAATCTTTCACAAAAATTTAACTTGAAAATAAATCCGGTATACTATTACATTTTCAGGTAGCCGAGTTATCTATTATACCGTCAAAAGAGTGCGAATAGTACTTTGGAAAAATAGACTTTAACTATTATCTATGCGGATACGATGCACTCAATTCTGGATGGGGTATTTTACGGCATCAGTACGCTTTTCCCTTTTTTGGCAGCGACATCGATTACCGTTCAGCTTTCCTGAAGATCTATCCTTATAAGGACTTTCTGACAGAAAACAGCGACGGTGAAATTGTGTTGTGTGCCTAATACATTTGCACTTGCTGTTAAATGACTATTATTTAAACGTTCTCTTGCCGAGAACTTGATGTGAGTTGGTTTTGCTATATTTTTCGGAGAGTTCCATTTTGGAATGACTTCTGAGAGCCAAACAGAATAACAAACAAAAAAAAGTAGTTAAAATACATAGTATGGGGTGTAACTGGACTTAATCACTTAATCACTTATCGCTTCATGATATGATAAAGACATTTAAACTCTATACAGGCTAACATAAGTTTTACCATTGAGTTGGAAACTAATAATAACCTTCCATTCCTAGATATTCTTATAGATAGAAAATCAGACCTAACATTGGGTCATTGTGTTTACAGAAAGCCTACAAACACAGAGCTATACCTTAATGCCTGGTAACATCCAAAAATCATTGGTTATCGACTCTCTTGTTTACAGAGCCGTAAAACTATCTCAGCCCTAGTCACTGAAAACAGAATTAAAACACATTACCTCTGCTCTTTTCTCTAATAATTTCCACATTAAAGATATTAAGCGTTCGATTAAAAAATACTCTTCACCACAACCTTCCAATAGCAATGAGGCCGAAAGCAATTCTACACTTGCCACTGTGGCCCTTCCTTATTTTCAAAATATCACTGAACACATATCAAAAGTTCTAAAGAAGTATAACGTCAAAACCAGATTTATCACTCTCAAATCTCTCATCATCTCCGGTCCGTCAAAGAGAAAATTCCATTTGAGATGCCAGGAGTTTACAGCATTCCATGCATATGCGGCAAAGAATACATCGGAGAGACTGGGCGAAAAATATCAACTAGGCTCAAAGAACACGAAAGAGCCTTACGACTAAGACAAATAAACCCATCAGCTGTTGCCAAACACAATCCCGAAAGCGGACATAAAATTTTATTCGATAAAACTAAAATTCTTACAAGTAATCAAGTCTTCTACCAACGAAAAATCCGAGAGTCAACAACCTAACAATCTTAACCGCGACTCAGGTCTTCAGGGAATCAGTTATCCGAGACGCTCCGCACGCTTAAACAATATATAAGCAGGTACAGAGTAAAATGCGAGCCAGTTTCAGTCAAGCTCTGAAGAAGCCAACAGGATGATTGGCAAAACGTCAGCAAGTTCGACTCAGCAAAAACCGACTTAGGAGGAATCCAGAAGTTTTGTAAAAAGTATTACAGTAGCCTGTGGAAGTTTCTTTGGAAAATTATGTTAAAGTGAGTTATTTTGGGCATTTATTACCTTTATCATTTACGTTCACAGCATTTCAACTGGTTAGATATACCTAGTTGTCTTCAAATGAATGCTGAACACCCGAAGACCGTTGGATACATTTCACTAGTTAAAGCAAATAATGGAAATCCAAAACTTCTCATTTTATTAACATTTGTTTTTTTCTATGACCTTAAAACAAACATATACGTGATTTGCAATTTGCAAATGATCGAAAAAATCGATGAATATGGGTTAGATTGCAAGAAAAATAATTCCCAAGTGGAAAACAATGGGCCGCCCTCTTCAAATATTTTAAAAACTTTTCTGATTAAAAAGATATTACCCACATAATACAATAAGATATCAACCACGATAAACACTCAATATAAAAGTAAGTAACATGTCGCTGTCAGTTAGTGCGTCTATAATCAGCAACAATGGATCTATATTATTCCTTACTGGGATTAACATTTTGTGGGCTCGTATGTTCACTGCCCTCGTCTGTAAGTTATATATTTCATTTCTTTTTTTTTTGCTTTTGTTTACCGCTCCTTAAAAAATAATTGGTTCAATTTTTTAGTTATGTATTTTTGGTCACTTTTAAAAATATTTACTGTCATAGTATAAAAATAGGAGTTAGGGAATATTTTACTTATTAACCCTAAAAGAACTTTAGTTTTAATAATCAAGACAGGAACGGATGCAAGGGGGTTGGGTCTAGGTAAATATAACGTAGTGGAAAACGCAATATTCACACTATTTAATATTAATCAAATTATGTTATTTACTTTTGTCACCACTTTGATAGCAATCCCATTCAAAAATAGGCTAGCCTAACTTAGACTATTTGTCAGTTGCCTTCACCCAGAATTATGGGTGGTCATGATGCCGTTCCCGGCCAAGTCCCCTATCAAGCCATGGTTTGGGCAAAGTTTGAATCGGCAAACGCGTGGAATGGCGGTACTCTTTTAGCTCCACGATATGTTGTAACGACGGGAGGAACCCTAGTTGATGGCCTTTAGTATGTATATTGTGTTGTATGTGTGGTCAGTAGTTATGTTGCTCACGTTGCATATTTTCCATAGATTGATTGAACTTTCTTAGGGGCTCATATCGTGATAATGTGATAAAATTCGAATGAAATGCCAAGGAACATCTTGTTCAAATATCTGCGAAATCCAACCTTTGAATAATTTTTGATTTAACATCAAATATAATATTACAAAAATATCGCAAAAGTTAAGAGCTTATTCTGCTTCCTAAATATGCCAAAATTTGCTACATAAACATATGTTTAGAAATAAATTTCTGAAATAGTTTTAATCATTTATTATATCTTATCATGTCTTTATCAAATGTGATCTTTATACCGTGGTTGAAATTAATACGTACGCCAGTGTTTCTTTAAATTGAAATTCTTATGTAAATAAACACTATTTTTTGTATATCTAAATCATCAATTTCATAAAGTATAACTCGATATATCGTTGGAAAAGCGTATTGTTGTTTAAAAAAAAAATCATCCCTTCACTGGTATCTCAGTAGATAGTCCAAAATCTAAATAATATTTTCTTTGCCATTTTTGCACCTAGACAACTACTCTTTCAGATTTTACGTTTTGTCTTTCTTTGATCATCGTTAAATTTATTTTTTCGGATGTTTCCGGTACTTTGGCTCCGATCCTCTACGTTTCGTTCCTGGCAAATCAAACTCAGACTCATACTCATTGTAGTATAGTATCGCTTGCTGTACATGATATGCTTAAGTGAATTACAATTCTTGTACGCTACGTAACCTCTTAGTCAATAATTGCTGGACAGCATGCAAGTTTGATATTGTGTTCTTTCTCAGTGGAACTCAAACCCTCGCAGTAGAAGTGTTCCTAGGAATAACTAACTATACTGCGGCTGTTGAACCCGGTCGTCAATTGCTTGTCGCCGAAAATTGGAAACTTTTGGAAAGTGGCGGTATCAGTCTGGGTCTGATAAAACTGGCGACAGAGGCGATTCTAAACGAATTTGTCGGGCTGCCCAAATTACCAAGTGCTGACTACTTTAACGACGACTTTGTCGGAAAGAAAGGCCTCATCTCGGGTCTTGGTTACGTGCGTGACAATGTACTGGCTGATGTTTTGCAAGTAAGTATTTACTACTTAACTTAATAATAATGCTAGGCTCCAGTGACACTTAATAAAGAAATTTCTGATAGAGGAAGGTAAAGACCAACACGAAAAATGTCTGAACATTTTTGTATGAAGTTCCTATGTTTGTTAACCGTAATTAATCACATAAATTTTACTTCTGTAAGATATTTAGTTTTAATTTAAACTTTCGTGAACTCACAGTCACACTATTAAAAATATAAAATAAAACTTCTAAGAGAGAAGGCACAGATATTTCAAAACACTTAGTTCTTGTGAGTTTAATGCCAACAAAAGGGAGAAGCAAAAAACAAAGAGCAACAATAAATAACCAAAAAAACACTGAAAATTCAGCACTGTTTCGCAATTTTTTTTTTTATATGAAGTATGTTTGCTTTAAAAAATACATACACATACAGCAAATTTTTCTGCTTGAACTTACCTGACAAATAAATGTTGCTGTCTAATTGAAACACTCATTTGCAGAATGTCATTAATTTACTAAATTTAAGGACACATTCCTAGTCTCATTTTAAATAAACAAGTTCATATAAACATATGCCAATAAAGGTTCGGTTTTCAAGCTCCAGTGTGTCGAAGTTTCTCCTTGTATTATTCCATGAATACTTGTGTGCAGATACGCCGAAATTATTGGAATCAAAGAGGGAGACATGAAAAGCATACTATTGTAATATTGTCATAGGTTTTCGCGTCTGTGACAAGGGGTAACATAATATTATACCGAACAAGCTAGAACACGAACATTAAGATTGGTGAGATTTCAATGTATCTTTGTCGGTTAATATTCAATTGTTATAGCATAAAAATATCATATGTTATAACAATTGAATATTAAATGTGAAGCAACGGATTTTAGATTACGATTAAGAAAGCTTTGATCTAAACCTAACCTAAAAATAAATCTGGTATGTAATGGTTCTATTAACATTTCAGGTAGCAGAATTATCTATTATGCCGTCGAAGGAATGCGAACGGTTTTATGGAAAGATGGACTGGAACTTCTGGATATGCGGTTACGATCCAGTCAATTCTGGGCTAACGGACGGCGATCCAGGTGGTCCATTTACCATCGATGGGGTGCTTTACGGCATCGGTTACAGTTTCCCCGAATTTGATACCGACATCGATTACCGTTCAGTCTTCGTAAAGATATATCATTATAAGGATTTGTTAATAGAGAACAGCGACGGTGAAATTGTGTTCCCTTAGAGATACGACGTAATACATTTGTGATTTGATGGTATGTGTCTATTATTTAAAGGTGCCCCTCTTGCAAAATTGACGTTGATTGGTTTTCGTATACTTTTCGTAACGCTTTTTGGGTTCTTAAAATCTCCAAATCCATGTTTGACAGGTTTACTAGATATTGTAGTTTACTTGTCGTTCCACGGAGGACACGGATAAACTCTCGATGCCCAATTCAGGTTTGAGCAAGACATAAATGCTTAATACATTAAAGAGACCACCATTATTTGTAAAATATACTTTAGTCAAAGAAAGCGATCTGAAAAATGTCAATATTCTTAGGAACACCACCACACCATGTTTCGCCATTTTTTTTTAATCAGTTTGACAAAGGCTTATTAGTTTTGTCCTTTGAGATATTCTACAATTCTACAATAAATTGTCTATCAATATGAGATTGCAAAACAGCCTTTTGCAATTTTAACCTTAATCCGTAAAGTTTAAAAAACATATTACATTGATAATTTAGTCGCATGCGAACTGTTATTCGCGAAGTTTCTCTAGCAGCCGTTCTACCAATTAACACATTTGTAGAAGCAACTTTTGGAAACATATTACCGGCAAAAAATTCTTAAAAGTGAATTCCAAGTAGATAGCAAAAACAGCTCGTCTGTCGAGAAGGTTCTAAGCTATGGTCTAAGGTCCCTTTTTATTTAAATGGCAGTCAGATCATCATCTGTTTATTGCACAAGATTTTATTCAGATTTAGCACCTAGAATAGGCAGTCTGTTGCTTGACAAATATCCAATTAGAACGCAACGAATTAGACAAGGCTCGACAAAATTATTAAACCACAGCGATAATAAGAGTGGCAATCGGCTCTGCTACAAAACGGACTGTAAAGACTGCTTCTTTGCCCCTTTAAACTATTCCGGGTTTGCCTAAGCATATTTTCGACGATTAGCCAAATGTAAGCAAGTTAAATTTATCATCAACCGCCGCAAGAGGAATCCAGTAAATAGTATTATAGTAGCCTGTGGAAGTTTATTTGAAAAAACGACAGAACTACAATAAAAAAAAAACGAAACGCACAGAAAACTTCATGCTCCAATTTGATTTTCTATTGACAACAACTGCCACAATTACACTATATATGATCTTCCAAATAGAGAAAAAGTATTTTATTGTTGCACTCAGTGTATGATCAAATTAAATCCGAATTAAAATATTCTGACATGGCATATTCTAAGCTCAAATGCATACTATCGAGCTCTGTGCAAGAATAGTTATAGAAAGGTGAGTTACCTTACACTTAGGAACATATTTCCTTCTGACGAAAGAGACAGAAAAGTCATGGTTTCATCGTAACCGGTGTTGATTATTTTTCGTCAATCGGCAAGAAATGTAATCAATAAACGAAGAAAAACACAACTGAGACTCTGTTAGTCATGGGTAGGACAAACCTGAAATCCAGAATGTGCATACAGGATAGGGAAACGGCAGAGCATATAAACAGACATCATACAAGGCCTGAACTTTATGGGAGAAGTACTGGAGTATTCCGCAATAGATCGATTGGTCGCAGTGGAAGACAAGACAAAACGTGCACACGTTATAACCTAAAAAAAAACCTAAGCGTAATGCTTATGCTTATCAATTAGTCCATCAATCGATATATTTTTCTGACCGCTATACATTTCATAACAGCTCTCTGAAAATTTATTTAAAATTAAAATTTTAAACTGCCCTACAAACTTTTGGACTTGTTCCAGCAATAGAAATTTTAAATCTGTCCTTGCCGTGCGATGTGATGGCAGAACGTTTTCAAAAAGCGAGACGACAATGAACTTTTATCATAGCCGAACATCTCGCCAGTAGATTCAAAATCAAATTTCGCGTTCCGTCGGCGAGAGGAAATAAATAAACGCGACTTCATTTCAAATAAAATTTTTCGACGGAATCGGATCGAAACTAATTTAATAGAGATGAACGACAGAAAATTAAGATGAATTATGTTTTCCGATGGACGAAAATTTTTTCGATTTCGAGCTCCGAAAAAAAATTGTCCCTGCCAATGCCAAATGACGTTTTATGAAAATCAGCCGTACTCAACAACAGTACGTCTATACTGGCAATCAACCGAAGCAAATATTTAGATCCGTCCCTATAGACTCGACTGGACAGAATACGTTTTAAAATTGGTATGGAATAAAAATAGTTCCAGCCAATGTACTACCTTACTACACAAACTGAACACCCTAACGTCATACAAAAATGACGTTAATGCCACAGCACGCAGTCAAAATGTCAAAACATGCTCACAATTTGACTTAGTTAAATGAAAAGCAACGGTTGACCTATTAATCATTCTTTAATTAAATAAAAAAATTCTGTAATGCAATTATATTAGGACTTGGCACCCCTCCTTTGAATATAATGTCATTGGACTCGCTCAGAAACAGTGGCCCAAGTAACCTTTTTCTAATACCCATTGGATCGCTTTTTTACTTTTTCTGAACTTCTCAAGATTTATGTAAACGAGTCTCTTGTTTCTGATCATCTCTTCTTGCCCTGCGACAGAGATTTTGGGATAATTGAAAAAGAAAACAATTTCGCCATGATATTATTTCCAGTGCCAATAAAACTTACAAAGTTCGATTAGTAAAAATGAAGTGGTACTTTTAAAATCTCCAATTTAGAGGAGGTTGTACTCGCCAAAGGGAATAGAGTAAGTTAAAATAAAGTCAGTGTTTATTTTTAAAACATCCTAATAACAATAATTTCCTTTCCAAGGTGGTTAGGGTCATTGAAAAACTGATTAACTACCACAATCATCTAATGTTCCCAATTAATTGAAGTATTTTCAGTGTAAGACGTTTCGCACACATATGCGACACCTGTTTAACTAGGCTGTTCCTGTGAGTTCAACCTGTGTTTGAAAAGCGGCCTCTAGTGCTAACTTGGTTAACAACTTGTCTTAGGTCACCTGGCTGCAACTTTGTCTGTGCTCCCTTGTCTCACGTCCACATGCCAGTCTTGCAATGCGAATGACGGCGATAAGGTTCGTATTTGACTGAGTATTTTGCGTAAGTGTTGCTGATTCTATAGAAGTTAATATTTCTTAAACCGAGTAATAATTCGGTGCTAATGTCCGATCATACCATTTATTATTTTTTACAAAATTTCCCAATATCAAATTTGGCGATATTTTTTATTATTTCCCTTAGTGAGGCAACAGTTTATGATTATTTTTAGGGGTGAGGGGTAACATTTCACTTACCGCCATAAACTTCGGAAACTTATTCAACGCGTTCTGGAATATTCTACTTCAGCGGGCTTAACTTGGATTTTATCCGCAGGAAATTCGAAACAATTACAATGCCGGAAGACGGTAAACTTGGCGGCCGAATTTAAAATCTAGGCAAGAGTGTAATACGACGTTATTAACCGTTAAATGGAATATAAAATTAGGCAGGAAAGTTTTTCGTTTTAAGAGCCGTCCCTTATTTGCCGCATGAGGATCGTTTTATTGCCGAACTTCGTTAATATATTAACAGCGCTATAATTAGTTTTAAGGAGACTACGTGCACGAGTATGCCGGAGTATATTTGTTACGATGTAGGTATTTCTATTATATGGCATTTGTATTATATTGCAACTACCCTCTTATTTAAAACCATTCAACTGTAATTTCGCTAAATGCTTATAATGCAAAACCACGCTGTTTCCATTCTTTAAAACTCTGTGAAAAGTAGTAAGACATTTTATTTCAGAAAATTTGGGAGTTGAGGACACAAGTTGTGTAATGTTTTGAATTATACAAAGCAATTTCAAAGAAACATAGATTCCGCATTTCTTAATGTATTTTGTAACACCACTCTATTATTGATTAAGGTTTCTTTTCAATAATAATTATTACGCTAAATTATTCAGATGTATTTTTCATACATGACTGTTTATTTTAACTACGTCAATTTCAATAAGTATTTATCGTATTTTCAACAAATTCTTTTTTTAAAATTGTTATGACTAAGTTAGTTTAGTGAATTTTCGAATTCTAATGACAACTTTATAAAATCACTTAAACGCTTTGTTAACAAAGTGAATTTTAATAGAGATTATAAAAATAAAAATTCAGACTTATGTATTCCAGTGGTTGTGTAGTCATCTGGTAATGAAGTGAAATACCAGCTTGTGAACGTGCTCAATTAATACGGCAGCAAGATGGCGTTCCGTACCACCGGGAAAACGTTATCATTGAAATTTTAAATGAAAATTACAAACTTTGGATAGGACAAAATGGAAAGATCTGGTGGCCACCTCGAAGCCCAGATCTTACCTCACTGGACTTTTTTCATGGACGACAGTAGTTAGGTTTTACTTTAATTGTTACAGTTACGGTTGTTTGTTGCTTTTACTTGTTACTGTTACTTGTTTTAAATTTTTAAACTTCTATCATAATTATACATGTCATTTTACATTGTTGAAGATATAAAAATGATGACGTTTTAATTTCCTAAACCTATAAATCTCTGTATTACCTTATCTACAAAAAAGATTCGACCCATTACAAAATTCTTTAAAATTATTTAAAAATGAAGAAGTATATCCTTTTTAAAAATTCGAACATCGAAATGTCCGCCTACTGTCCTCATCTTCACGCGTTAGTTTCAAGCAAGCATATTGGCCATTCATAATTTAATCTACTATCCCAAGTAGCAGTACAGCAGTTGGACATTTCGATATCTAGTGGTGTCTTGGCCAATTTTCTTGCTCCAGTTAGAGGCAACAGCACAAGGTACATAATCTCCGTTAGAAAATATTGCGCCATTAACTTTGACTTTTTGCTAGGACGCAACAGAAATCTTTCAGTCGTTATCTCCGGCTGAACGGGAATACAATACTCACAACTGATAAACCGAATACAGAATTCTAATGAAACTCTCCAAGAGTTGAAAGCTGATATTGCGCAGGGAGGCAGGGACCACACCTTTTTCTGTTAACATGGTGCTCAGTCGATCGCAAAACAAAGGGATGGAGAGCTAGGCTT